TTCTGTGCTTCTACTACCTATCAAGACATATCTAGCACCTTGGGGTACTAGTACATATTACTAATAAATAAAACATATCTTACAAATAAATATAGAAATACATATGCTTATAACATAATTCTATTCTACTGTACATTCTATTTGATAAGTATTCATTTCTGATCTTCGTTCAGGAAATAATGACAAGTAATGGTCTCTATATGTTTGATATGGTCCATATATTTCAATAAGTACAACTTATGGTCCATACATTTCAGTTTCACTTCTCCAACTCTTTTGATGAAGGAGTTGTTGATAAAAGTAAGATTCACTGTCACTTATGCATAAAGGTCGAAAACGCACAATTAATTCATTTGTGCGTGGTGTCACCCAGTTGCCAAGCAGATCCTGATATGATATTCGAGTCCTTGATCTAGATGGAGTGGTAGTGACATCATACTTGTGATAGTATTGCTCATATGTAAGATATTCAAAGATGGAAGTTTGTGGGCAAGCAAAATATTTTTCAATAGTGTCCTTGTAATAAGGTTCTTCATTTTGCAATATTAGTGGTACAGGCATAATTATACAAGTATGCATAGAGGGCGGATCAGTAGTTAAAAAATGTACTGCAATGGAAGCATTGCAGATAGGTTCACCAAGAATCATAAACATAATTTCCATTGAACTCATACATCTTGCTGTAATATGCTGATAAAAGCAATCACCTTCACAAATATTAAAAATATGAGACGGTTCTGTTTTGGCAATGTATTTAGTCATATATTTTGCAAAACCACAAGAACTTACATACTGTATTGTATGTTTCATGAGCATCCCATGCTAATAATGTAGGAGCATGATAAAGGACAACATATTGATCTTGCTCATGCACACAATGATACATGAATCACCTAGTTTTAGGATCTTCATAGGTAATTGGGGAATATTTTCAAGGAAATCCCTTTCAGCATTGTTCTCCAGGCAATGGGGGACCACCACATTTAGTAGGATTATATAGGACCAAGCAGGCCAAGTATGGTGTAAACGAAAATGTGGATCTATACCCATTATTCTTTGCTTAATGTATTTACCATATGTTTCGATATTTGTGTAACTATTATTATTAGATTTTATGTCACAATAATGTCCTCTACTGTCAGGAAACAAATCAGGAAAGAGCAGCAGTTCCAAATTTGGATCACTAATTGATATGGGAAGATTGTTACCATCACCAGAACAAAGGAAACCTGCTGCCAATCGTGAATACAGTGAATCTTCATTATGCACTTCTTCTGGCAAGTCAAAATTCAGGACAACTACATCATTATGTTGAAACAATGTTACTGAGGCATCTTGCGAAATTGGGAAAGCAGTAGGCCACACAGACATTTCTGATGTATTGTTTATTTGTAATAATCAGTTGGCAAGAGCAGAATAGCTACGGAGATATGGATTGTTTTGTTGGAACCAACTTACAGCAGGTTGTAAAGAATGATGATACCAATTGTTGTCATTAGACGAATTATTCAAGTTTTCGAGGAACGCGCCAAGCATTCCTGAATAAAGTGTCAGAGTTCTAAGATTTTGGAAAGGCCCATTGTGCCCACAATAGAACGATACTCAGTATATGCATTGGTGTTTGTCGATCTTCCCAGACTGGAATGCAAAAAGATAGGGGATAGATATTTTCTTTTTCCGTAAGGTACATCATCAATTTGTTGAGGAATTTGTGCAAGATGCGGAAACCATAGTCTTGTTGATGGTCGTTTACAGCAATGACAAGTCGGAAGTTTGCTTTCTGTACCAGGATGAGCGATGTCTTGTATTGAAATCGATGGATATACTTGGAATAAAGCATACGTCGATAGATCTTCCTGTACAATCCAGACAGCTTTTTCTGGATATAGAAGTTGGCCACAGTATATGCAAGGAAGACAAGGGAATTGATTATAGTGGTCATCAAATAATTGTAAAAGTTTTTTCTGAAGACGCCGAGATGGTTTCCATACAGGAATGGTGGAAATAGTCGATTGTTGGTAAACATTATCTGGGAGAGCTGTGAATTGAGTAATTTAAAAATTGATTATTCTGAAGAGGATTGGTACGTGTGGCAGGTAATGCTCGTTGAAAAGGGTCTGGTAAGAAAAAGTGTGATGATACATCTAATTCAGATGAATTGTCGTAATCAGTAAGTGAGAAAATATTGTAAGACATAACGACGAAGTAAATTGCTTGCCTGTATACGTTGATATAAGTCGCATTTATAAATATTTCTGTTATATCGGCGAAAAATTGCATGAGTGACTAAATAAGTTAGCGACAGTTTTCTTTTTATTCGAGTGAGCAAATGCATTGATCAATCGACATTGTGAAGAAGAGGTATTGTTTTATGAATTTTCAGAATAGTTGGCGTATACAGTCGAGACCATTTTGAACAAGGGCCTCCTTAACGTACACCCCGGGTGTACGGCAAATTCGTACACCAGGGGGTGTAAGTTAAATGGATACACCCGGGGGTGTAAGTTAAATTGGTACACCCCCCACATACGATTAATGTGATATTGAAGATTAATATCCAGGTCAACGGTATATTATATTTCACTAGTTAGAGCATCATATAGTTAAATCAGGGAGATAAAGT